CAGCCACTTTTCAATTTAATGTATCCTTGCTGAATAAAAGTACCAATTTCTTTAAAAAAAAGTAAAACAAATCCAAATCCTGTGTCACGGTATGGTGTGGGTTGAAGAAGACTCAAAGTCCAAAGGCTCCAATACAAACGATTTACTTAATGGTACATACAGGCAGGCAGGATGGCAGGCAGGATAACACACATAAGACAAAGACTAACTAAATAGAAGGAGACTAAATACAGATACTAATGAACAATGACAAGGTGCCACAGATGTGAATATTCCTCTAACCTCTAACAGAGGAATTAGTATCAAGTCAGCCGTTATTTATGTAGCACATTTAAAAACAACATAAGCTGACCCAAAGTTTTAAAAGATCAAAGAAACCTACTAAATATAAAGTATAATACATTTTAAAACAACATCATATATTTTATCCACGTCAAACCCTATTCTGTTTTGTCTTAGAACTTTATTTTACAGTGTCCTTAGCAGGACATCATCAGGACAGGACATCATCTCGAGAGACCCATGAACGTTCCTCTGGACCATACCCCTCCCAGTTGATCGGGTACTCTAGGCAGGTGCCCCATCGCCATGAGTTGAGAATGGTATGGACTTGGTACACTAGGTCCTCATCAGCGACACTTGGAGGAGGAGGTACTTTGTCCATGGTGGCTTCTGTGGAAGAAGATGACGGAGGTTCAGTGAAGGGTTTCACGAGGGAAACATGGACTGAATGTGAAATACGGTAGTGAGGTGGAAGGTTGAGCCTGTAGGTGACCTCGTTCACCTGCCTCTGCACAGTGAAGAAACCAATATAATGAAGACTCAGCTCACTACAGTGCAGGCAAAGACTGATGTCACAGGTGGAGACAAACCTTCTGTCCCGGTTGGTATTGGGTGGCTTCAGCTCTTCTGACAGCCTCCTGCCGTTGGTGTCTTCACACTGCCCGATGGAGATGCACATGAGCTGAGTCCCATACCCTCTCACTCTCCTCAAATCAGTGGTTGACAGCTGGAACCTCCTAAATTTCTCCGGACCAAGGGAAGAGAGGAGGTTGATAGCCGAGGACACATTCGAATGGAGTAAGCCCAGTGGTGGTTTGACGCAGGGAGTTCTGGGCATACTCCGCCCAGGGGAGGTAGCGACTCCAGCTGTCCTGGTTCTGGTGGCAGAATGACCACAGGATCTCCTGGATCTTGTGCTCAGTCTGGCCATTTGTCTGTGGGTGGTACCATGAGGATAGACTTACTGAGACGCCGTGGAGTTTGAAGGCCTACCACACCTGGGAGATAATCTGGGGGGCTCTGTCCAATACAATGTCTTCTGGAAAGCCATAATGACAAAAAACTTGCTAAAAAGATGAGTTTTGCAGCTTTGAACGCAATAAGCATTCCCTTGATGGGGACTTTGCTGGCTTTGAAGAATCATTCTATGATTACGAATACACATTTGTGATGGTTGGACAGAGGAAAGATGGTCATGAAGTCTATACCCAGATGACACCAGGGGTGTTGTGGTTTTGGCAGAGGTACTAACTTACCCTCGAGTAGCTTCCTCTGTGTGTTGGCGATGGCACAGACTGGGTACCCCTTGATGTACCGGGAGATATCCTGGGCCATGTTGGGCCATAAGTAGTGATCCTGAAAGAGCAAGAGGGTTCGCTGGCTGCCTGGGTGTCCAGAGCCCAGAGAGGTGTTTGTTGAGTACATGTGAATGGAACATACAACCATCCCTCAGGACCTCCCAGTGGAGCAGGTTCATTGTGGGTGGCTTGGAGGAGTTGATCGTCGAGGGACCATTGGATCGGACTGACTACCATGGCTGAAGGGAGAACAGGTTATGGGTGACTGGAGTTGGGTTCAGGATGATACAGATGGGACAAGGCATCCGCCTTGCAATTCTTGATACCAGGTTGCTTGGTTACGATGAAGTCGAACCATGTGAAGAACAGAGCCCAACTGGCTAGTCTTGGGTTGAGTTGCTCGGCTTCTGAGATATCCCAAGTTTCAGTGATCTGGGATGACTTTGAAATTGTGGTGAGCTCCCTCCAGCAGCTCACAATTTCCAATATCATAATTTTGCTCCGCCGAGGACAGCTTCTTGGAGTCGAGGAGGCTCACCCTGCCGCTGGGATGGTACCGCTCCAACCCCGGTGGTAGAGGTGTCAACCTCGACCATGATTGGGAGTGAGCTGAGGAGACTGTAATTCTGGGTAAATCTTTGGTTGAATTTCGGCCAGTTTCTGGGAGTAGATCAGGATGTTGTCAATGTAGATGACGAAGCGGTGGAGGTACTCACCGCTATACACATGCAAGATGAAGATGCAAGCCCCACAGAGCTGTTCCAGGGAAGCAGGGACAAGAGGAAGAGGAAATCTGAATTTGACGGTCTGAGAGTTAAGTGCCCAGTAATTGATGCACGGCCGCAAGCCTCCGTCCTTCTTGGCTACAAAGAAGCTGGAAGTGGCAGGGGATGCCAATGGTCAAATGAAACATTGTTTGAGAGCCTGCTGAACGTATTTCTTCATGGCCTTCTGTTCCGGGATGGACAAAGGGTATACCTTACCCTTCGGTGGAGTAGCCCCAGACAGCAGATTGATGGTGCAGTCCCATTGCCGATGACGTGGTAAATGGGTCGCCAACTGCTTGCTCCAGCACCATGGATGTAATTTTTTCCTCATGCAGGCAGCCAACATGAAGCATTACTGTGGGGAGAAGTGATGAATGCGACCACGGCCCAGCAGTTTGCCGAGAATGGATAGCTAGTTCCTGGGAGCAGCGTTTTCTCCGGAGGTCTTTGGAGAGGTTGATGAGAGATGAAATTACCTTCAGACCCGAGCCGATGAGTGCTTGAGCTGGTACATTTCAAGCACTCATCGGCTCAGGTCTAAGACATGTTTGGGTAAGAATTTGGACAGGTGTACAAGTGAGTAGTGCGACTTTGGGGAGAAACTGGATTGTACTCACCATTGGGCATTACATGGCCTTCTCCCCACAATACAAACACAAGTGTTGCAATTGTCTCTTTTGACTCTCTGCTCTGGTGAGGTGATATGCAGTGACTGGCATGGGTTCAGGTGCTGGAAGGATGACAGATGGGCAGAGGATGTGGAGCAGGTTGATCAAGTGACCAGGCTGAAAATGTTGAGAGATACGCACAGCTTTCTTAATGAAACTTTCCAATTCAACTGCTTGCACAAGATCGGCAAACAGATCTGGTGGATGTTCTTCTCTTGTTTCGGCAGGACTCTGCATTGTGGTCTGGTCTTCTGTCAAAACACAGAAGGAATCAGACAGGTGTTATAGTGATAACAGTGTTTATTGAGCAGAGTGGTGAGAAACAGTGGGAACCAGATGTTGGTGACTTGTTAACTGCCGAGGGTGACTAAGCTGGTGAAGATTGACGTGGATTCTCTGTGCAGGTGACAAGTGAACAAGAAGACAGGAGATTTGGAACAGGGCGACAGGTCAAAGACAGACAGAAGACTGGAAGCTTGACGAGACGAATCACAGGTAGGTACACAGGTAAGGAGTCTAACGGTGCGCATTGGTAGCTGTAACAAGACCAGACAATGAGTGGATGGTGAACTGGGAATATGTAGGCTGTGTTAATGAGGGAGTGCAGGTGCAGGGAGTCAGTACTCTGGTGATTGTGAACGAGTGGGCAGGTCCTGGTGATTGGGGCTCTGACAGTGTGGCTGATTTTGTGACATTTAGGACAGGTATTTTTATAACCGGAGTTTTTAAAAAAACTCTGTCCACATGACAACGCAAAAACACGCTATCAAGCTCTGTCAAGAGCATTCAACACCAGCAGGCAGCAATATAACCCTAACCGTAAAGCCACTTTAGCCAATCAGAAGCCGTCAGCGGCGCAAAAACTCGGGTTTTACTGTCTACACGACCACACTGCAACCTGTGTTTCAGAAAATACTCACCTTGGCAGGGGTTTTCAAAAATGTTCGGTTTCAGTGACCTGATACTGCGTTTCCGTGTGGACGAACGGCCAAACCGTGTAAGAAATTTAAAAACATGGATTTAGCATATTTCACAGACTCTAGTAGTTTTTCTAGCACAACTTTAAGATGTCATAAGAGATCTGAAGCTCGCTTCGTTTCCACTTATGCTCAGCCTGCGAGAGTGCGAGTATCATTGTTTAACCAAGGCTAGGAGACACACTTAGTCATCCTAAGCTTAAGTGGAGCGATATTATCATGTGTAAAAGTACAAGATTTATTAAAAACTTCAATCAGTGATCCAGTGTCGATTCTAGATAAGACATCATCTGTGAAATGTGTTAGATCAAATTCTGAAAACATATTGGCAGGAGACAATTGAATGGACTGGGAGTCCTGAGAAAGTCCCGAGAGGGGCTGTGGACACAGGGCACTAAAAGAATAATGGTCAGAATCTCTAAATCAGACCCACAAAGACCATGCAATAAGATTTGGGAGGTCTGTAGACAAGTGCACAGAAAGCAGGACCCATCAATTAAAAAAATATATATGTTCAGCTTTTGACAGCAATAACAAAAGATATGGAGAGTGTTTTTCTTCTTTTTTTTTAAAGTCTTTATTTTTGCAAACACAACTATTGATGATAGTTTATCATTTTAGCTTTATCATTTTAACATTTTCCATGCTTAGCCATATTTTTTTATCAGAACAGACCTTTGACATTTCAGTTTAGAATCACTAGCTTAGACAAAAGATTTAGAAATCGATTTTTCTTTAGACCCATGATTCATGTATGCTGCTTTTGAATGCAGTAATTAAACTATCTTCACCTCTTAATGCTAAGTCATTCTGTTCTTTCTGTGCTTTCTGTAGATCTTTTTGTGGGGGTGTAGGGTCTGTTAAACAGCTCTGATGTTTATGCAATATATAACAGCAAACTATAATCACATAAGAAATGTCAGTGCTCCACTGCCTTCAGCTGTGTGTTGTTTAAATGCTAAATGAAATGTGTCATTTTCTATGGTTTAATTCTGCTGTTTTGTGCAGATTTAGTCCGGTGAGTGAGAACGCTCCTGTCGGGACGCCTGTGGGATTGATTCTGGCCGTAGCTGTCAACACCACCGTCTTTTACTCTATAGTGGGTGGAAATGATGGAGGTGAGTAACCTCTATGCAAATGGGGTTCTTCAGTAAATTTGGTCAAATTCATCATAAATTTACAATAAAATGTAGAACAAACTGGAACCAACAGGCACACATAGAGTTTTACTATACCGGGGATTTGTGGGGGAAAAATACTTCCATGAATTTCTAGTGGCCTGAGCGCTCATCATTGGTGTAGAAGACACTTTGAACTGTTCTCTGATCAGTTTTTGTTTGCAGGTGTGTTCAGAGTCAATAACCGCACCGGGATCATCTACACAAATAAATCTCTGGACTACGAGACTGTGATCAGTTATGTACTTCGTGTGCAGGCCGATTCCCTTGAGATCATCCTTGCCAACCTACGCGCTCCCTCCAAAAGTAAGAACAACACTAAAGCACTTTGTGTAGTATTTGAAAGATATAAAAGTCATTATATTGAATAACTCTATGTATAGAATAGTATATGGCCACACATTTCAAAATTAAATTATAAGTTAAGATATATTCTGGTGAATCTCACAAAATATGTCAAGAGGCAATTAGACACTTTTTGAAAATCCCATGCACTCTTTTTGCAAAACTATAAACACATTCGCACTCACTGAAACACATTTCAGACTGTGATGCACTTGTGTTGAAAAAAGGTAAGTGCTGGCAAAAGTTAAACAAATAAAACAGTTTTAGTTTACACACAATGACTAAAACTTGTTCATTTCTAATGATGTGATCGAACCAACGGTACAGAATAAGCCAGTTCAGTGTGCACAGGTGACGCAGGTGCAATGAATGTTGATAAAAACAATAGATGGAAACAATCTCAGAGGAGAGAGAGTATGTGTTTCCAGGTGATGGACGAGAAGGAATAGGATGAGGAAGTGAAAGAGCAAGGTGTGAAGTGTTACCAAGTCTGGATCTGTCAGACTCAAGGGTTTTTCCCTTTCCCTGGCAAGAGACGACATAACCTGTGATGTGGACAAAGTCCTCAGGCCAGAGCCTACAGGAAGACATTAGTGCAGTTGAGTGTCCTATTATATGCTTTATCAACATGTCTTTAAAACATATTCTTTGGGATTGTTCAATCTTTAATGTTATGAGACAGCGCTTTTTATCAGGACCCACTTTTAAACTTATTTATGGATCCAGATTATATTTTGCGATACACATTTGATAATGGCATAGACACAGCATACATTACAGTCAGTTCTGTTTTTACCCGGACAGATTGAATAGAGTTCTGTGACTCTGTTTTAAGCTGGATAAGGCTGAATAAGGGATTTTTTTCCTCATATTGTTTGAAACTGCTGGGGGTCAAGGAGGGAGAGGAACATTAATTTGTGGGTTGAAAATCTATTACATTTTCAGGAATATATTTTAGCTTATGCAGTTCGCTATAGATGTAGTTTGCTAACTCTGACTACTGGTAGCCTACACGCTCTGACCATCCAATCAAAAGTTGGAAAAATGCTGACGTTATTGTACATCTGCTAGAAGGCCCCGGTGCAGTCAAATTGAAATCAGATTGGCTGATTAATTCTGACTGTTTATCTGATTTGTTGAAGCACCAGTTTCATTGCCATTTATTTTAAGCTACAGGCGACCGCACTATCGATTCTGCACATTTCTTTAATCCTGGCAACACATGATGGCTGAATTAGGATTGGGTAAAAGCTCTAACATACATACACTACTGGAATGGCCAACCACTGCCATAACATCTCTTTTTTTATTTCTTTTTTTATACAGCATACAGTATCCGATTTATTCATCTTACTACTTTAAGTTGCGATTACTATACTTTTTACGTGATTGCAAAATGAATTTACTCTGTTACAATGTACTTTTTCTCTAACTGCATACTGTGGATGCTCTGGTTTCCTTTTTTCTTTTTTCTTTTTTTGATGTAGTGTCTAGTGAATGATCTGTGTTTATATTTTGACTGGCTGTGTGTATGATCTGAAAGCATTATTTGATTTTGAGCACATACAAAATGGCTTTGAGTCAATTTGATTTTAACAGAAGAGTCAAATGTTCTTTGAATATAGTTTGAAGATTTGGTTTTGAGAAAGTGGGTGATGGTTTCGAGAAATGTGTTTTAGCAATTCAGAGAAGACTGTAAATAATGGGACCTCATTATAAAGTGTCACAGGTGTTAAGTAGTTTCAAGTACCAATTGCCAAAGTCATGCCCAGATTTCATGAATCAGTCAAATCCCAATGGATGAAAAAAGTCCAATCTTATATGTATGGTGTCGTCGTTCAATATTTTTCTTATTAAATATTCACTCAGTAATGAGTCACATTATAGAAATGAAATGGGTTGCAAACTCCATTTCATGTTGACTTAGAAGTTTAGTGAGCTCATCACAGGCCTCTGTCAGGACAAACTGTACATGAGAGTGAGACAAAGTGCGTGTGTGTGTGTGTGTCCTTCCATGTGTCTTACTTTCTCTTTGATATAAATGTTGTACATAACTGGCACAAATTCTCTCTCTCTCTCTCTCTCTCTCTCTCTCTCTCTCTCTCTCTCTCTCTCTCTCTCTCTCTCTCTCTCTCTCTCTCTCTCTCTCTCTCTCTCTCTCTCTCTCTTTCTCTCACTTACCATCCTGTTTTTCTTCATTTCTCTCTTTTCTCTCAATATTGAACAATGATATACAGCTTTTCATCTGCGCTTTCCCCTGTGTGCGCATAGATCTACTCAGATGACTTTATATATTGTCGTTTAATGCAGCAGAAGACAAATGCTTCCTGACAGAGCATATTTTTCACGTCTGCCAGTGTGAAGAGGGTTGTTGAAGTTGTGTGTGTGTTTATATTAATGCTACTTTTTTTTCTTTTTTTAACTGTGACAAATAGGGCTTAAAGTTCCACAAACTGAGGTCTGTTTCTCCTGTGTGTGTGTTTAAATATAGCAAACACAGCTAAGGTATTTATCGACGTTCAGGATGAGAACGATCATCCTCCTGTCTTCACAAGGTCTCTTTACATCGGTGGTGTGACTGAAGACACTAAGACCTTCACCACAGTACTGAAAATTGTGGTGAGTATATGTGCATATGTTATGTGTTATTTATTCCTTGGCAGCGGTAGGAACAATCTGAAATGTTATGGGGCCACAATATAAACCTTAGGCTAGACTCATGAATATTAGTTAGGTTACATAATGCTCATCCAGTGGTACTAACGGATTTGTTGAAGCTACAGTAGGTAAGTAGACACTAGCATTGACAAAACAAATTTCGGCCATTGTGTAGAACACAAAAGGCTACATTTTAAAGACTGTTCACATGTTTGCCAATGGCAGAAAAATCTAATTTGTGTTCATTGTTATTTTTATTTCGTCTTATTGTTCCATAATGTTTTCACATCACACTCGACGCAACAGTTAAAACATGCAAGATGGAGAAATAAAGATGTTTCAGAAATGTTCCTTCTTTGTTTCGCCAAGAAATCTATTAGCAGACCAGTTTGAACCGCATTTATTTGATTAATAATACAGTTAAAAAACTGTATTCGTAATATTTTAAAAAATGTGCTAAAGCTGAAATTTCAGCATCATTATTCCAGTCTCCAGCGTCACCTTCAGAAATCATTATAATATGCTGATTTGTTGCTCATTTCTACTTATTATCAATATTGCTTTTGCTGTTTTGCTGCTGTTGTTTTGCTGCTTGATGTTTGGCTCAATCCCAATTCACCCCTTGGCCCTACCCCTCCGTTTTGCACGATCACGTCTAAGGCTAGGCTGTCCCGATTCTTGTTGAGATCGAGGAGTAGAGCGTAGGGGCCGGGCTACATAGCCCTTGAAATGGAGACTTTTCAGAGGCACACTCCAAAAGGAGGGCTACGAGAAAGTTCACAGAATGCATCGCAAATAACCGGCGAGATGGCTTCGCAAACGGTTAAACATTTAAATTTAGCGCCTAATAACACCACCACTTTATATACACTTATAATAATACTATAGTTATTGAAATTGAGAAATGGTATAATAAATTAACTTTCCGAATCAGAAAAGACATACATTTCGTGTAAGGAATGTTATTATCATCATTCCTCAAAGTTAAGAACAGCTGTACTGATTGTCAGTCGTTGTCATGGAGAAATCCTGTAAAAACTCAGTAACGGCAGAGCCATCTCCGACGACTGATGACGCATTGGGTTCATGAGGGTTGTTCCATTTTTATTTTTGATGAATTAGTAGTTCAAAAGAAGACCATTTATTAGATATGGATTTTTATGTAACAATATGAATCTAAAATTTTAATTGGAAAGTTTTTTTTTTAAAATAGGAAAGTTCACTTGATCAATTTAATGTGTCCAATTTTAGTGTAAATATTTCGTCGTCCATTACAATGGACATCACACCAGCCCCTTTTGTTTTTTTTGTTTTTTCACCTAGTTTAAAGCCTGCAGTCCATGAGATTGGACGTTTTTTTTTATCCAATTAAATGACAGTAAAGCTCTTCATGTAGTATTATAAAATTATAAAAATTATTTTAAAAAAACACTACATTGAAGGGAAGCATGGCAGCACTTCACTCTAAACACAGAAGCAAGCAATATTTTCTATTGTATTTACATTTTTTAATATTTTGCCAGTGTTTCATAATTTCTATGTAAAATATAAAGATTGAACATTGGTTAAAAGTTAAAATTCGATTTTAGAATTGCAAGTTTTAAATCAGGATTTTTTCAAATGTGTCTGTCCATTAGTGGTCAGTGACAGTGAGTTCATTTTCAGTAATGCTGATTGAAATTTATATATGTATGTATATATACAGTATATATATATGTAAAAAATCTATATAACAGTTTTTAACATTTTTTAAAACTTTTTCATATACAGAATATACAGTTCTTGAACATATAGCTGATGGAAATATCTCAGATGTTGAGTTTATGTACAGTGAGTGATGAAAAAGATGGAGAAGTAAGAAAAATATCTGTGTTTAAAACTTTTATAAAGTAAAATAACTAGCTTCTGGCCCAACAAAAACATGGTTTTCACTTAAATCTAAAGCGCAACTTGAATATTATTGTTTTTTTTTTTGGTTTGTTTTTTACACAAACGCATCACTTTGCTTTAGATGGCCTTTATTAACCCCCCAGAGTAGTGTGGAGCACTTTTATCATGAATAGATGCACTTTTATGGACTTTCAAAACAACCATTCACTGCGATTATAAAGCTTGGAAGTGAGGACATTTATTTATTTTTTTTTTTAACATAACTCTGATTGTATTCGAAAGAAGAATGTCAAATAAACCTTGTATGGCTTTAGGGTGAGTAAATAATAGGCTAATTTAAATTTTTGGGTGAACTATCCCTTTAAAAGTGTAGTTCACCCAAATTATGTGTCATCACTTACTCACCCTGATGTTGTTCCAAACCTGTATGAGTTTCTTTATTCTGCTGAACACAAAATAAGATATTTTAAAGAATGTCGACAAGTAACAAGACAGTCGACAGCAGTGACTTCTATTGTATTTTTTTCCTCCTATATACTTTCCTAATAACTACATATTATATTATTATAATATAATATTAGCTTTATTATTAATTATTTAGTAAATTACAATACAACATATTTAGCAGTAATGTATCAATATAGATATTACAGTACAAGACCGTATAATTACAGCAGAACATATATTTTTTTTCTTTTTTTCATTTGATCTCATTTATAGAAGCCTCGTGAGCTGGGAAAATGTACTTTTTTATGTTTTTTTTTTTTTTTTTCTCAGAAACTTAAAAACATAATTCAGTTCTGAAGTAAAACTTGAGATTGCATTAACCAGAAAAACATGATATCAATTACAGTTTGTTGTATTTTGATAATTAGATTTGAGGTAGCTTGTTGTTAAGAACAATACTGTCAGAATGCACAATGGAAAAATGGTTATTATTTCATGGGGTTTGGAAATGTTCTGCAGGTGTTGGTGTCTGCAGTATATTATATTTCATTTTTAAAGAGGAGAACTTGCTGTTCACATCCTGACACACCTGTCAACACTATTGAATATCTCTCTCGCTGTTCAAATCTACTCGCTTCCCCCCACATCTTAGTAACTGTGCTTAGACAGCTTCTCTCTTCATTCTGTCAATGTGGAAGACATGTGACGGACACCTGTAAAATACCCACTGGGTTCTGTTCCCCTGCAAGGTGACCGTTATCTCAATTGAGTCTTTTAGCATCTATAAAAAGCATTAAGACATACAAACTGATATATGGGGATTATTACATTTCTAGGTCATCGCTGAAGTAGAAGCTGCAATGTATTTATTTCTCTATCTCTGCCACCAAGGTTTTTCAAGGGAGGGTTTGGCCAACATATTACTTTTTATTTAAGAGCCAGCATTACTAACATCTGGTGCCAGTGCAAACTCTTTTTCTCCATTAAAAACTACTTTCAGTTACTAAAGACATGCAGTGAAACCTCATTGCATATGCTTTTGTTGGAGTTTCCCTTTCAGGCGAAAATGTATGGTTAGAGAAAATTTAAATAAATTATGCATTGGCATTTATTCAGGTTGGCGGTAGTCAATTTACTTGTATTTGAAGAATCGACGCCAGGCTCTCAGTGAGAAAGAGAACTCTGATTGGCTCTTCAGCTTAGTGAACGAGTCAGTGCATGAGAATTATAGCAAAACAGCGAGCAATGATGTCAAAACTGTACAGATAGAAGGCCGTTCTCATTTTACCTCATCTTACCTGAGCGTTCTTGGGCAAATATTTTAATATTAACATGAGGAGTGGAATAAAGAAAGTGATCGACAGAATTGATATACAAACACGGTTTAAGTTTGCTTTGTTAACGATTTGTTAACGAAAGGGGTCATGGGGTTAAAAACTGGCTTTTTAAATTTTAATATATTGTTGTCTGAGGTCAACTTTTGATGTTCGCTTGTTTTTTGCATTCAAAAACATAAAAATGAATAAGTACTAGGCTATTTTGTACCCTAGTTTTGAACCTAGCCAACAAACGCTCGGTTTTTATGGGCGTCTCGCAATGACTCACGGAATGATTCGCCCATACATGTTCGACCCAGAGTCCGTGTGTTGCACCATTCCTGTCAGATCCAATATAGACGGCACAGCACCGTTCTTTAATCTTAATCGGTCTGCAAATCCAGTCTTGTTTACAATCCTCAGTGAAATGAAGCGAATAGACGGACGATGTTTTACCTCATCAACTGGAACATCATTAAAAATAAAGATTATCCATGCAGTCCTATTGTATTCCAGAGGAAGCTTATGCAACGACTGTCTTCTTCCACAACCAGGCACTGCACAATATTTTGTATTGCTCAGTAACTCGATCCGGTTTGTCATCACGAGGTAGGCCTATGTTATTTAGCTATGCATGTGTGAATCGGTGGGTGGGGCTAAACCGGCCGTGTTGAAGTAGGCGTTGATCTTCTTCTGCGGGGGTGGTGTTTTATCCTCTTTGACGTCATAGTTCCCCACTTTTAAAAACGAGTCGTTTGCTGAGCCTGGTGTCAATAAAAGCTTTTATTGGACTAACAAGGACGTTTTCAGTTCTGAAACTTACAGGATATTAGGGATCGACCGATATGGATTTTTTAGTGCCGATACCGATTTTTTTTCCCATCAGCCTTAGCCGATGACCGATACGGGCTGGCGATTTTCTTGAGCCGATATTTGGAGCCGATATATTTTGCTCCGATATTGTCACGGGGTATGGTGCAGGAGAGCAGGAGTGCAGACGGAAGGAATAGGAGGAGTCCAGATTCACATGGAAGATAACATTTAATTCGGAATACAGGCAGGGATACAGGGTAACACGGGGTAACATTTGACGTCGACCGACAATCATTGAATAAGACAGAGGGAACTAAATACACAGAATAATCAAACATAATGGGGTGAAAACAGGTGAAACAGATGATCAAGACGAGGAACAGGTGGCTGATGAGGGAGTGAACACGGGATGGGGTGACGAGAGGATCCTGGGAAGTGTAGTGCTGCTGACGGGACAAACAGGTGAAGACGCAGACTGTGACAGAACTCCCCCCT